CTGGATGGCTTAGTTAAGCATCTGACTTCGGCTCAGGTCATGATCTCGGGGTCCTTGGATCCAGCCCCGCATGTTGCCCGGAATCATGGTCAGGCTCCGCACTCAGTGGGGAGCCTGCTCCTCCCTCTCCTTCTGCCCCTCTCTCCCTGCTCATTTTCTCTCCTTCTCAAATAAATAAATAAAATCTTTTTTTTTTTTAAAGATTTTATTTATTTATTTGAGACAGAGAGAATGAGAGACAGAGAGCATGAGAGGGAGGAGGGTCAGAGGGAGAAGCAGACTCCCTGCCGAGCAGGGAACCCGATGCGGGACTCGATCCAAGGACTCCAGGATCATGACCTGAGCCGAAGGCAGTCGCTTAACCAACTGAGCCACCCAGGCGCCCCAATAAAATCTTTTTTTTAATGTGCACTGTTAACCACACAAGCAAGGGAACAAGCTACTGTGAGTGACCATAAAGGAAAAGATAGATACATTTAATTATGTAAAAATTTAGAAATTCCATAAAGATAATAAAAAGACAAGCCATGCAATGGAGTAATACTTGAACATATACAACAGCTAATGGAATCTTATCTGGAATATCTAAAGAACTCCAAAAATTAACAAGAAGACAAACCTGCCCAATAGAAACATGGGCAAAGAAATTCAATATACACTTCACCAAAAAAAGGAAATCCAAATGGCCAATAAATGTATGGAAAAGTCCTTAACTGCATTAAAAAAATCAGGAAAGTGCAAAAACTATAACGAAATACCGTATGCAAGGCTGTTGGGTAAAATTTAAAAATCTGGCAAGACCAAGAGTGACAAGGATATGGTGCAACAGGAACTCTCACAGAGTTGGTGAATGTTAGCCTCACTACTTTGGGGAAAGTGTGGCATTTTCCAGTACAGTGGTGTAAACACTCATACCCTGTGACCCAGCAACATGACTACTGGGAAAATGCCCTAAGAAGTGCATGCACTGTATCCCAGGAGACATGCGCAAAAATGTTCAGAGAAGAATGATTTATGTAGCCCCGAACTAAAAACAATCAAAATGCCTATCAAGAGTAAAGTGGATAAATAAATGTTGTTATAATTCCACCATGGAATACTAAACAGCAATGAAAATAAACAAACTAAAACCTCAAACAACATAGATTAATGTTATAAACCTAATGCTGAGCAAAAGAAGCAAAACAGAAAAGATACGCAGGGAATTATTCCATCTACGGAAAGATCAAAAAAAGAAAAAGTCCAAGGACGCCTGGGTGGCTCAGTCGTTAAGCGTCTGCCTTCGGCTCAGGTCATGATCCCAGGGTCCTGGGATCAAGTCCCGCCTCGGGCTCCCTGCTCGGCAGGGAGCCTGCTTCTCCCTCTCCCACTCCCCCTGCTTGTGTTCCCTCTCTCACTGTGTCTCTCTCTGTCAAATAAATAAATAAAATCTTAAAAAAAAGAAAAAGTCCAAACTGTATCCCATATGGATGGATAAACTATAAAGAACGATACAACTATAACACTAGCCAGAGGTTACCATAAAAATGCAGGAATGATTACCCTTGAGAGGAAAGGAGGGGATGTGATTGAAAAGGGGTGCTTGTGGATTCTGGTGGGGCTGGCAATACTTAATTTCTTGACTTGGGTGGTGATTACATGGATGTTTGCTTTATAACTATACGTTATATCCTGCAATTACATTTTGTGCACCTTTCTGTACATGAGTTGTTTCTTTTTTTTTTTTAAGATTTTATTTATTTATTTGACAGAGAGAGACACAGCGAGAGAGGGAACACAAGCAGGGGGAGTGGGAGAGGGAGAAGCAGGCTTCCCGCTGAGCAGGGAAGTCCTGATGCCAGGACCCCGGGATCATGACCTGAGCCGAAGGCAGACGCTTAATGACTGAGCCACCCAGGCGCCCCTGTACATGAGTTGTATTTCACAATCAAGTTTTTCTAAACAGAAAGCAGATATTATGACAAACTTTAAGCCAATATATTTGAAAATTTAGGCAATATGGACAAATTTCTAGAAAACTTTCCAAAACTGAATGAAAAAAAAAAGATACCTGAATAGTTCCATAACTAGTAATCTAGTGCTATGTAACGATTATGACAAACTTAGCAACTTAAGTTATATACAAGTCACGCCAGACCCAAACTCTGATCTACTGCTATGGACCCTACGGACCGCTTCCAAAAGGTGTTGTGGGGAGGGAGAAACCCAGACCAAACTATTCTCGAGGGCCAGTGGCCGCTGTCCTTCCCTCCAGGAAGAGAGCTGGCCCCAGGGACTGGAGAGGGAGGGAGGGAAGGCTGGGAGGACTCAGGGTCAGGGGTTACTCTAAGTGTCCCAGTCTAGCCCCCACCACCCTCCAGAGGACCCACCAACAGGCTTCTGATCCTACTGGTCCTCTAAGGGCAGGGTTTCTCTCTGGCTCTACCTGCTTCACCTTCCTTTTGCCCATAGCCAGCACCGAAGCTGGACGATCCATTCATAACTCACCCAAGGAGGGTGAAAATCCTCCACTTACTTTACCGCTGGGTCTGGAGGAAGGCGGTGCCCCAGATGGCCCCACCCCACCTCGGGCCCTCTCCACATTCCTCCCTATCTCTGTTTAATAGCGGCCTCCATCTCCTTTTCATAGTCAAGGATAACCCCCTAGCCAACACCAAAACCCACTTTATGATCCTTTTCTCAGTGGCCGGTGACAGTCTCAGCTTCCACTTCAGAGGAATCACTTTTGCATCTCTCTCTCTTTTTTTTTTTTAAGATTTATTTATTTAGGGGCACCCGGGTGGCTCAGTTGGTTAAACGTCTGCCTTCGCCTCAGGTCATGATCCTGGAGTCCCTGGATCGAGTCTCGCATCGGGCTCCCTGCTCAGCAGGGAGTCTGCTTCTCTTTCTCCCTCTGCTTCTCCCCCCAGCTTGTGCTCTCTGTCTCTCTCCCAAATAAATAAAATCTTTAAAAAAAAAAAAGATTTATTTATTTATTTGAGAAAGAGCACACGCACGAGCAGGGGGAGGGACAGAGGGAGAGAGAGAGAAAAATCTCCAAGCAGACTCCCCACTGAGCGCGGAGCCCCAGGCATGACGACGCAGGGCTGATCCCAGGACCCTGAGATCATGACCTGAGCCAAAACCAAGAGCCTGCTGCTTAACCCACTAAGCCACCAAGGTGCCCCCACTTGTGCATCTCCTGATAGACCCGGTTCTTCCCCTGGGTACTAAATATGGACCACTCCGACCTCCCCCAACTGGCTCCCAGCCCCACATATCTGACTCCAGGAGAGCTAGCATCCCGAGTTGTTACTAACTCAGCGCATACTCCACAACCTGCAGACCGGCGGGCCCCACAAGGTGGTGTCTCTCAGCTCACGCCACAGCAGTAGAAACTTCCACCATGCTTTACGGCCACCTATTCCCGGGTGATGGGCACAAGGAAAGACCACTGCATCCCCCGGGCACTGGCCTATTGGTGCACGTCTTTGGTCCTCACAGAAACATGAACTTCTTCGTGGGAGACAAGCTGTGTTGGATAATGTCAGCGAGGGGCATTCAGTGAGTTTGTGAATGGAGGTGCAGAGAGGGCAGAGGAGGGTGAGACAGCAAACCCAGTCCTGCAATAAGGATCTGCTGCCAGTGGGCAAACTGCTGTCCCTCCATCGACTAGGTTCTTGACCAGCTGTGGCTCATGGGAGACGCAGAACTCAGGACATCGCCGTTTAACAGTTTGTCCTCCTCTTGGGAAGCAGATGGGATTAACAAACTGTGACTTTAAGCAAGTTATAGCAGAAGATAAATTATACATATTGCATCAAGGGGAAAAGAACATGTGATGTTTGCAAAATTCTTACGGGAATTTGTCCTTGTCCTGGAAAAAAAAAAATGCTGGCTTGCTGTTTAACATTTCTATTAGAAAGTTGAAGCTCTTTGTGCTTCGAATAAGGGAAGAAAGTCATGCCGGGATGTCACCTCTGAAGCTGGGTCGTGACTCCTCAAATGGGGAGGAGTCACGACCCAGCTCTGCCCAGTTCCGTCCCCAGGGGATAATAGGCAAATGTTGCTCAGCATTATCCTAGATCAGAATAATGGGACAGGGAAAAGCCCGTGAATGGTCTGTAGCTCTTGTCCTAAAATATAAGTCTCATTGCAATTAGCAGTATCAAAGGTAAGGCCCAGCTGAGGGTGAGAGATCTTGAATTTGTTCAAGTCCCAAAAACAGAGAAGGGAAGATGGGATTAAGAGCTTCCTTCCTTCCTTTTTTTTTTTTTTAAGATTTTATTTATTTATTTATTTATTTATTTGAGAGAGAGAAGAGTGAGAAACAGCATGAGAGGGGAGAGGGTCAGAGGGAGAAGCAGACTCTCCGCTAAGCCGGAAGCCCGATGTGGGACTCGATCCCAGGACCCCGGGCTCATGACCTGAGCCGAAGGCAGGTGCTTAACCGACTGAGCCACCCAGGCGCCCCTAAGAGCTTCCTTTCAAGGGGAGTTCTTTGGAGGACAGTCACTCGGGACAAGCGCTCTCTCGCCACCTGGGCCTGTTCTGACCCCAGAGGACCTCCTCATGGCCCATCCTCCGATGTCTCTCCTTCCAAGGCCCTGCCCACCGGGCCCAACCCCTGGCCACCACCCAGAGCTGACACAGAGCCTGACCTCGGGCCGCTTCTCCGTCCATGCCAAATGGACAACAAGATGTAGTACTGGGAGTTCTGGAAGGGCTTCCCGTCCCTGGCGTTGCCGGCAACAGGCAACAGTGCCGCAGCAATCGATTTCTGGCTGGGGCCGGTTGCTTGCGGAACCATCTGTTAACAGGCTGTGGAGAGAGCTCAGAATTGTCTGAGAAATGACCTCGAAGGCTCATCCTGGGTTGCCTGGCAACTAGCAAGCCGGGACCACTGGCTCCCTGTCCCTGACGGAGGGGCTGTGCCCGAACTCAACCTCCTGTGGGATGAGGGTGAGGGGGGGCACAGGCTCCCCCTCCACCCCCCGCCCGCCCCCCCACCCATCCCCCAGCTTCCAGGCCATCACTTTCCCAGATAGCTGACACTTAAGTACCCATTGCTTAGCGTTCATTCCCCTCACTCCATCGCCCCCAAGGTCATTCTCATATTCGCCTTTGGAAAGGGAGAACATGGCAGGGGAACAGGGTCCCTCTGCCCCTGGTGTCTTCAGCCTCACACAGGGACCCCATGCCCACTGGCACTCTGCCTGTGAGCCCCAGCCTTCACTGAGTATTGCTGCCCGGGTCCCCCGAGCTCTCTGCTTGGCCCGGGCTCAAGCGAGCGTTCGATCTTTGGGCAACTGGTCGTGGGACCTGCGGCTGAGGTGTGAGGGAAGGGAGGGGTGGCTGGAAGCCCGGGAAGGGACCCTGCGGAATGAGATGCCTGCTCAGCGGCTCGCCCAGGCTTCAGGACGTGCCTGGGCCCAGCCCTTCTCCCATGTGTGCCTTCTCCCCTTGACGACAGATGCTGCTGGGCGCACCTGACTTTGTGGCAAGGTCAGACAGCACTCAGCTCTCATCACATGGTCCCCAGGTGCCTCGTGTCAGGCTTTCAGTCTCCCCCTGGGCCCCAACAGCTTATGAAAGGCCTGAGCTGTTTCTCAGAAGGAGAATAGTGGCTTGCCAAAGAGGGCACCGCTTTGCACTAAAATCCTGGCTCCTGAGCTGAGATTTGCCTCCTGGGGCTTGTCCCAGGCTCCATGAGAGCTCTCAATATGCCATAGACACTCGGATTTCAGAGGACTCCAGCTTTGGAGCAACTGCCATGTGTAAGAGCAGCTGGCCTCCCCCCCCCACCACCATCCAAGACCCTAGGGGACACAGCTGCTTCCAGGGAGAGACCTGCACACCATCTGCCTCGGGGGGCGGGGGGGATGCGGATTCCCGGAAGGCCAGACTCTTGACCCCTCCTCTCAAGCCCCCTCCTCCCTGTTGTGTTAGGCCCCTGAGTTCTACCTGCCTTTACTTCCACCCAAAGGTTCAGAATGGACTCCTGATTTTCTTAAGACTTGCAAGAAGAAGGAGAATGATAGGCTGTGTTCCCACTTGAGCGTATGTCAGAAGCCTCTGGGTGAGCAGCTTGCTTAAAATAGAATTGCCCAGGCCCCAACTCTAGAGAGCCTAAATCAGCAGGACTGAAGTGGGACTTGGAACCCTGTATTCTACCCAAGCTCCCCACCCTATGATTCTGATTCAGGTATTCTGCCATCTATATTTGTGGAGTGCCTCGGGGTCAGGCAAGCCTGGATCCAAATCCCAGTTCTGTTCCTGTGTGAGTTTGGAATCACTTCAGTTAGGAGTGATGGATATCCAAAATAACAGGGGTCTTGGGGAACTTGGCTGGTGCGACCCTTGATCTCGGGGTCATGAGTTCAAGCCTAGTTGGGTGTAGACTGTAGACTTTACTTAAAAAAATAAATAAAATCTTTAAAAAAAATTAAAAAGGGGGTCTAAATAAGACAGAAGTTTACTTAAACTTTTGTCATGTGAATGTCTGGAAATGTAAGTCCAAGATGGTATGGTGGTACCACAATCATTAAGGACCTAGATTTTTGCTCCAAAATCCTCCACATTTGGCTTTTGCCTGATGGTCCAAAATGGCTGCTCCAGCTCCAGCCATCATGCCTATGTTTCATCTAGCAGGAAAGAGGAGGAGAAAGGCACAATCTTTCCACTTAAGGGTAGTTCCTGAAAGTTGTTCCACTGGTCATAAGGCTAGGTGTGCTAGAAGGGAGGAGAGAAAATGTAGATATTTATTTGAGTGTTGGTAAATGGTGGTTTAAGGCACAGAAAGAGTGTCCAAAGGAGCTGAAACAGAGGGAGAGGGTGGTGGAAGTGAAAGATAAAATCAGCTAACATCAATTGTATACGTACTGAATGCCTTTCACCATTCTAAGCACTTCTCATGTAACCATGAGTTGAATTCTTCCAACAATCCTGTGAGGTAGGTCCTACTACTCCTTGGTTGTCACACACCCACCCCCAAACCACACGGATTGAGAGATTAGCCTTGCCTGCTTACTCCCTGACTGACTCTGAGTGAGTTCAGTGCCAGCAAAAGGGAATAGGAGAACCATATGTGCTTAGCTGAGACCAGACACAACTTACCACACCCTCCTTCTCCCCAGACCGGGGTACATCACCCCCCAAAACCTTGAAAATTCAGACCTCTGCCAGCCAGGAAGAAAGTGTACATGTCTTCTTGACGTCTCTAAACTACATGTCAGCCGGGGTGCCCCCTAAGACTAAAGTTCTGCTCAAACCCCATCTTGTGCTCTGTGGACATGTTAAGGGTTTCTAGCTCTGGCTTCTTCTTTCTTTCTTTTTTTTTTTTTTTAAAGATTTTATTTATTTATTTGACAGAGAGAGACACAGTGAGAGAGGGAATACAAGCAGGGGGAGTGGGAGAGGGAGAAGCAGGCTTCCCGCTGAGCAGGGAGCCCGATGCGGGGCTCGATCCCAGGACCCTGGGATCATGACCTGAGCCGAAGGCAGACGCTTAACGACTGAGCCACCCAGGCGCCCCTGGCTTCTTCTTTCTGCTGAAGTGTTTTGTCTGCAGGTATTTGGAACCTGGAGCAATTGCTGGGCTCCAGCACCTCCAGGGAAATTTGCTGTGGGCACAGTGCTGGGCACAAAGAAGATGCTCAGGAAATGCTTGTTGAAAAATAATAACCGTCATTTGAATAAGTGTTCACCATGTGCCAGGCACTGTGCTAAGAGCTTTACTAATATCATGCCTTTTCTGGTATAGATGTTCATTTTACCAGAGAAGGCACCGAGCCTCACAAAGGGAGGGTACTTGCCAAAGGTGTCACACCTGGTATGTATGTGGCAGAAAAATTTGAAGTCACAAATTTTTCATCATAATGCTCAGATGTCTACAGCCTGGAAGAGCCACCCTTCTCTACTCACACGGATCACGGATGCCCCAGGAGCTTGGGGGCGAGGCTGCTGGTTCTGTGGACAGACCCCTGCAAGAATGAGTTCTGTGTGGGCTTCTGAGGATTCGAACCACTGCTGGATGCTCCTGACCATCTTCTCTGTCTCCTCCCCCGGCTCCCCAGCCCCCGACCTGAGTGATCCTGCACAGCACAGAACAGAGGCCGTTTTTACTGTGGAGCGAGGGAGCGAAGGACAGGCCTTTCGTCCACAGGGCACCTGGAAACAATTTCTAGAAAAGCAACATAGTACAGAGTTGAGAGGCTGGACTCCAGCTTGACACTCCTCTGCTTCCTGACCTTGGCCAGGCTAGTAAGGATTAAATGAGTTAATTCACGTCATATAAAGCACCGAGAAAGGGGCCAGCACGCTATCAACAGTCTCCCAGGGTCCAGCCATCATTATGACTATTTTGGCTAAAATCGGTACCAGTGGAAGCCAACCAGCTGGAGAGGACGGAGTTCTGGCCCCTCTTCCTTCTTTTTATACATAATAAAAATAAAACTTCCTTTTAAATAGGAAGTGATACATTATCAACTGGTAGAAAGTGTAAAAATTCAGATTAAAAAAAAAGTCACCTACAATCCCACTCTCCAAAGATCATCTTTCTATTCTTCTTTTTAACGAGCATCATGGTGATCTGGGTGCTGTTTGTTTTCTTCCCCAGAGGGATCTGTGGTCCTCCCAGCCCCATCAGCCTCTGAGTCAGCCTGGTCCCAAACAGTCACTTGAGCCTCCAGCTTTCCTCACGGTGGGGGCGGAGTTTCAGAGACAAGAGAAAGAGGCTGAGGAGCAGGTGGGCAAGTGCCTCCAGCTCATCCTCGGCCACCTGGAGAATTTTATGAACAAAGTGTTTCTGTGACTTTTTTTTTCTTTTCCGTGATTTTTAAAAGGCAAATCAGAACCGCCACCCCTGCTTACAATCTTTCAAAAGCTTCTTGTTGCACTTAGCCAAAGGCCAAGATCTCCAATGCCGAGACCTGGTGGCCTGAGTCTGAATCCTGAATATAAATTATTTATTTATTTATTTATTTATTTATTTATTTATTTATTTATTTATTAAAAATCTTATTTATTTGACAGAGAGAGCACTAGCAGAGGGAGAGAGAGGGAGAAGCAGGCTCCCTGCTGAGCAAGGAGCCTGATACGGGACTCCATCCCAGGACCCTGGGATCATGACCTGGGCCGAAGGCAGCCGCTAAACCAACCGAGCCACCCAGGCGTCCCTCCAAGTTATTTAAACTTCTCTGTGCCTCTGTTTCTTCATCTATAAAATGGGCACAATGAAATCTGTGTCCTAGAACTGTTAATGAGGTGAAATGTGCTACGTGCTTAGGACAGCGCCTGGCCTGTGGAAAGCCGTTGGTAAATGGCAGTAACTATTACTATTATAATTTTCTCCTTTCTTCCCTTTGCCGTCTACCCAAGGACACACACGCCCACAGCCTGACTGCAGAGCCCCCACTTTTAAGCCCTAAGTACCCCCTCTACATGGCCTCTGACAGCATCCAAAATCGAAAGGGCAGAGCAAGCTTTCTCAGATGTCTTTCTGGTTTTATGAGGGATGGTGGTTTTTCCAGAGCCCCCTTCTGTCTCATCGAGCAGAACGGGGTCCCACACCTGCCCCTCAAAGACTAACTGGCAGAGAGGAATGAGAACGCCCTGGTTACAGAACGCCTGAATGAAATCGGGCTTCCGGTAGCTTTGACCGCTTCTCAAACTCCAGGTGCGTCAGAATCAGCCGGAGCGTTAGTTAAAACTCAGATTTCTGGGCCCCACCCCCCAGGCTTGATGAGGTAGGCCAGAGGGGGGGTCAGGAATTTGCATTCTCACCAGTTTCCAGATGCTGCTGGTCCGGGGACCACACTTGGAGAATCTCAGCACAGAGAAGGATCGTGTGGGCCCCCAGATGTAACCCAGTGTCCACCTGCCGTCTCGGCCCCTGGAGACTGAGACAGGTATGTGTCAACCCTGTGGCCATGGCCGTGCAAAGGCCTCCTGGAGATTCCTGCGGGTCCTCAGGGCGGATGTTCTCATGGCCACTGTCCTGCTTCTGCTGATTTCTTGCAGCCGTTGCCTTTATTTCTACCCTGGAATTGACCCAAATGAGAGAAAAGGGATGAGAATATTTTCCCCGGCTCCCGGAGCCGTCGTGGGTACAGGCTGTTGTATGACTTACTGATGACAAGCACACCACGGAAAGTAGCTCAAGAGACATTCTGTTCCTAAAAGCCCCGCGCCACCTGACCCCGGGTTTCTGTGTTCTCACGGGTCCTTTACTCCATGCAGGGCCAGCCAGCTCCTGTCCCTTCCTCCTCTCCTACATCCACCCCCCCCACCCCAGCTGCCTCTGAGGCAACCAGAACGAGCAGCTCCCTCCACCCCAATTCCCCTCTGTCAGGCCTGTGGCCAACCCCCCACCCCCACCCCTGCACAGAGGGCCCAGGGCAGAAGAGTCAGCTTGTGGGATAGTGTGAGGGAGGACAATGAGGCTGAGCCCCCCTGCTGGGGAAAAGGGGTACTTCTCATCTTAGCGAACCCTGAGGGTGGACAGGCAACAGACAAGGCTTGGGTCTGGGTCCATCCCTGGGAGTTTGGGTGGGGGTGCATGGGGGCTAGGGTGGGACTCTGCCTGCCTCCTCATGAGCTGGAGTGGGGACTGGGTTTCCCTTCTGAGCTATCCTGGTCCTGAGATGATTCTAGGAACACCGGTGGGGGGGATGCTGGGACTTCTGCAAAAGTATGACAGGGGATCTCCCCCTCTTCTCCTTCAGCTCTCAAAACCACCCACAACAGGCTCCTGAAAGGAGTCTCTGAAGCTTTTGAGCCTCAGAGGCAGAGAACCTGCGAGCCAGGCAGAGGAACCTGTGAAGGCCTCCAGAGGCATCGGTTTGAAGGACAGCGTTTTAGAAAACTCTAGAAGGACAGTGTCTTTCTAATGCAGCTTGATTTTACCTCCCCAGGTTCTGGAAAAGTGGCTGTGTCCTTCACTGTGAACTTTGAGGGTGTTTAGGCAGGTCCTGACACGGGGAGGACTCTCTTGGCTGTCAGCTTATTCTGAAATTTGAATTTCCGATGCACCTGGAGGAGTCCAGAAGGGGACCATTGTTATTTATAACCACAGCTTCCTTCTCAAGAGAGTAAATCCTGCTTCATTAAATAAAAGGCCCCTTTGTTCTGAGGCCTCTTTTTGGGTCTGGTCCGGCAGAGACAGCCTGGTAGCCAGTGGGGGGGAGAAGGCGGGGCTGGGAGGCCCAAGTGCCCCCACTGCTGGGTGTCACGTGAGGATTGGGAGCCCCTGGGGCATCGTGGTGGCAGGAGCTGTGCAGGCGGCCGGGTGGAAGATAAGGGGCTGAGGGGCTGGCGGCTGGGAGGGGTGGGGGCGGGGGTGGGGGGGAGGGAGGAGGGGGGGATGCCTGGTGGCCACAGCCTTTTAAGAACAGGAATGTCCCAGTGCCACTTTCAGTCGTGTGCTGAGCAGCGCAACAACTTCCTCAAACTGACACATCTTCTGTGAAATTCGGCTCACAGAGCAGCCTGGTATTCCTGGTTTCTTGGGAGAAGAAATGGGCTGCATCCTATGTTTGCGTCAATTCCAGGGCAGAAATAAAGGGAACAGCTGCCAGAATTCAGCAGCAGCAGGAAGGCAGAGCCACACAATTGAAGCCTGAGACTTTGCAGAAGTCGTGTGGAGGGTGAGGGATGGGGTCTGAGCCAACCTTATTTCAAGCTGGGAGCCTCCAGCTAAGCCTGGCTTCCGCCCGGGTTTGCCCCCTGCTTCCTCCCTAAAAGAAGCCCCTTTTGTTCAGGTGTGAGGGCGGTGCGCCCACCTCCAGGGGATGAGGACTGGTCCGCATGTGTCCCCACTCCCCTCTGCCGTGACTGGGTCGGTACATACGTGACCCTGTTCTGGCCAATGAGACACAAGGGGAGGTGGGCTGGGGGCTTCTGGGAAGGATTTCCCTCTCTAATAAAAGCAGAGCTCGCCCTTTGAAGGCAAGCCCTGCCCCAGCTTTCCTTTTCCTGGGCTGCTGTCTGCAGCAGAGGGGCCTAGTCGATAAAAGGGGGGGGGGGGGGCTCCAGAGTCGGGGTAAAAGCAGGACTTTGCATCTAATGAGCTGTGCGGTCCTGAATGAGTTACCCCGTCTTCCTCCTCTGCAAAATGACAGTCGGAATGGCACCTTCCTCATAGGGTTGTTGTGAAGATCAAGTGAGTGAGCACACCTAAAATGTCTGCATAGTTCAGACACGTGGTGAGCACTCGATACATGAGAGCTATTATTACTATTTTTGTCATCTGTGGATATGATGCTTGGAGCTATGGTACCATCTTTCAGCCATGAAGGAGGGACCCTGACACGGAAGATGGGAGGGCAGAGAGAAGGAAGGGTATTAATTCAAATTGGCTTACCTCAAGACCTCTTAAGAGAATAAAATCCCCAACTCTTCAGGCAAATTTTAGTTGAGTGTTGTTACTTGCAGCATAAAGCATCCTAGCCAATTCATATATAAAAGCTGGATGCCCATTATTGATTTAGAATGAGAAATAAAACCACTTGGTCTGAGAGACACTCATACGTATTGATGAGAATATTCACCTTGGAGGCAGACCATGGGCATTGACTGCTAGTTATTCTCAAATATTTTGTTTCTCCTTCTTTCTTTAATAAGAAGAACTGCCATATTTTAACTGGGTACATGCTACTTGGCTAGAAACTACATTTCCCAGGCTCCTTTGCAACTAGGGGAGGCCATATGCCCAGGTTCTAGCCAAAGGAATATGAATAGAGGTGATGGGTGCTCCTTTTGGGTTTTGCCCTTAAAAGGATTGGGCATGCTCTCCCTCATTCTTATCTCTTCTTGCTGGTGGGAAGATAGCAAGAGCTGGAGCAATCACCTTGGATCCAGAAATGGAAGAGCCATTCTGAAGGTGGACAGAGTTGCCCCCCCAGCCTGGAACCACCTATTTCTGACCTCTTATATACAAGAAAAATAAACAATCTTATTTAAGCCACTGTAGTTTTGGATTGCTTCACTATAGCATATCTACACGAGGCTCCAGAATATCAAGTGGAAACAGAAGCACAGAAACATTGTTCTGTGACTCTAACTATGACTCTATGTATCAGTTAGCTGTTGCTGCATAATTAACCACCCAGTATGTAATAGGACTTAAAACAATGATTTATTATTTCTTATGGTTCTGTAGGCTGGCTGCATTCTTCTGCTGATTTTTCCAGGGCTTCCTTCTGCAACTGCATTCAGTTGGAGGAATGGACAGGGCTGGGTTCAGCTGGGACACTGCGGATGGCTAGACTCCCCCTCCATCCCCAAAGAAGATAGTCCAGGCTAGGTTTCCTCACATGGTGTTTCCATGAGCATTCTGAGAAAGGCTCAAAGCACAAGCACTCATCAGGCCCCTGTTTTTCTCTTGGTTGCTGATACTTCACTGGCCAAAGCAATTCACGTGGCCAAGCTCAGCATCCCTGTGGGAGGGGCCTACACAAGGGTGCAGAAACTAGGAGGCTTGATTCATTGGGCCATTTGGATAACAATCAACCTCACCCTATTGTGCCCCATGAATTTTGGAAGCTCATTATGGGTAATTAGAAATCCTAGTACAGTGTTCATTAGGCCCATCTGCACAGGGACTAATAACCCCCTAGGAACTGGGACAATTAAAATTCATTCCTTTATTTGGTTATTTATCACCTACCTCCAGAAAAGGGTTTCAGGTTGTTTATGTAAATACAAAAGATTTTTAAATGACAAAATAAAATTTAAAATGAGTATTGGAAAGAATCAGAAGGAAAATGAAGGTAGAAAAAAAACCTAGAAAAGATGGTGTCAGGAATAGGGTCAGAATAAGAGGTGTGTGTCCTGCGGGCCCATGCTGCTGAGAGGGACAAGAGGGTCACTGGAGAGTGCCCGACAAGATCAAGGAGATGGCCAGGGAATGGGGCTGTGGGGAGCTGGGATGAGGCTACCTCCCAAGCACTCGAAGGTGGTGCTTCTCACCCTTTGCTGCGTATTAGGATCGCCTGTGGAGTGGGTTTAAATACAGATTCTGAGGCCCAATCCCCAGAAACTGGATTTTTAACAAGCTTCCCAGGTGATTCTGAAGTAGGTGGTCTTTGAACCACATTTTGAAGTGAATTTAAAGCTCATAAGCTGGTGCCAGCTTCTAGGCAGGATATTCAGAGGGGAAGAATAAGCAAGAGAAAAGGTTCTTGAATAAGTGAATGGCTGTCAGAGTCCCAGGAAGATTCCAGAAAGGGGAAAGGGATCCTATGTGATTTGGGAGCTTTCTAATTTTTCAGATACTTTGTTTCTGCATAGAACAGACCTCTGCCCTGAATTTTTATCTCCTCGTGGGTCTCGGGCCTCAGCAATATTACCCCCCCAGGACCCATTCTCATCAAAACCTGCCGTGGCAGGGATCCCACCCCGTTCCCCGGCCACTGCTGGTTGGACTGGGGTGGGCACCTGACTCCAGCTGAATTAATCAATTTTTTGTGCTAGGAAATTGGACTGGTAAGGGTCTTTGATGATGTGTCCGTTGATGGCTGTGTTCCACAGCGACAGCCCACAAAACCCTGCTGTTGAGGGACAGGATGGCCTGGTCCCTGCCTTTCCTGGATCCTGGCTCTTCAGCTTCCCTGACCTTGTGACACACCCTGGCATCCTTCTACTAAATTCCACTTTCAGCTGAGTCGGCTTCCGTCCCTGGCCTCCAAAAGTGCCCTGGCTACTACAGGCTAGTAGAGGGAGATGGGGTCAGAGCTAGTGTGTCTGAGGTGGTCCCTCTGATTCCAAACTGGGCTGTCCCTAAGAATCGGGCCCGTCTGGTCAGTTTCCTAAAGAAACCACAAGATGCCAAAGGCATCGTGTTGAAAGAGCCGTGGAAGCCTGGGAAAGACGCTTTGCGTCGCAGCGAAAACTCGCTGCTGAGATGCGGACAGAAGATCGGTGAGGGACGCAGGAGGAAGCCAATGGGAGGTTGGCGGGGGCCTGCACTGGGCATCACCCTCTTCCCTCTTCAGACAGAGCCCACCAGGGGATGAAAGAGACGCTTAAGATCACTTAAATAATTCTGGGAGACAAGGAAACTTCAGTGAATATGGTTCCTGTTTCTTTTTTTTTTTTTTTAAGATTTTATTTATTTATTCATGAGAGACAGAGAGAGAGAGAGAGAGAGAGAGAGAGGCAGAGGGAGAAGCAGGCTCCCAAGGAGCAGGAAGCCCGATGCGGGACTCGATCCCAGGACCCCGAGATCATGACCTGAGCCGAAGGCAGACGCTTAACCATCTGAGCCACCCAGGTGCCCTTTGGTTCCTGTTTCTAAAAATGTATCTGGGGACACCTGGGTGGCTCGGTCAGTTAAGCGTCTGCCTTCGGCTCAGGTCATGATCCCAGGGTTCTGGGATCGAGTCCCATATCGGGCTCCCTGCTCCGCGGGGAGTCTGCTTCTCCCTCGCCCACTCCCCCTGCTTGTGTTCCTGCTCTCGCTGTCTCTGTCTCTGTCAAATAAATAAATAAATTTAAAAAGAAAAAGAAAATGTATCTGAAGTCTGGTGTGGCAGCCACAATAGCCCCCAGCAATCGACGCCCTGGCGGTCAGGTCCTTGGGTAATCTCTTCCCATGTTAAATAGGGCTGACCTGGGGGTGACCAGTAGGATATGGCAGGAGAGACGGCATATGATTCTTGAGGCTCTGTTGTAAATGACATCACAGCTTCAGCCTTCTCTCCTGGGTCACTTACTCTGGGGAAACCAGCCACCGTGTTGTGAGGACACACAAACAGCCCTACAGAGAGGCCTGTGAGATAAGAAACTGAGGTCACCTGCCAACCATCAGCGTGAGTGAGCCACCTCCTAGTCCAGCCTCCAAGTGACTGTAATCCCAACGGACATGTTGACCACAACCTCATGAGACATCCTGAGTCAGAACCCCCAGCTGAGCTGCCCTGAGATTTCTGATCCACAGGAGCTGTGAGAGAAGAAATGTCTATTATTTTCAGCTGCTAAGTTTGGGGTCCTCTGTGGCCTAGCAATAGATAACTAATAACTGGGGATGAGAATGTGCTGGCATGGAACATTTTCAGAAAGCAGTCACAAAGGAGACTACAAGGTAAGACTGTGTGGCCCAAACTTGCTTCAGTGGGACCTCAGGCACCAAAGGCAGGCATGCGGATTCCCCTAACTTCTATATCAGGGAGAAGAGGAAGGGGGCGCTCCTTTGGCAATTGAGGGAAGGAGCCCAAACCATTGGAAACAGCTGCTAATGCCTGTGTCCTTTCAGGGTATATCCTGCTTCATCATCATGATGGACAAATTAAGTTTACAATTCCTCTGACAGAAAATACCGGGACTGCTGAGTGCCCCTCCTAAGGCTAGTGAGAGGTCCACCTTTTCTTCTCCTGAGGTGAGTCCAAGGATCCTGGAATGTCTACCAGCCCAACAGAGGCCATCCTGGTTAGTTTTTCTTGGTGGCAGAAGAAACCAGACAATCTGGTCTAGACCACTGAGAGGGCCCATTTTCACCTGCACAGCCTTCCCCAAACCAGAAGTTCCGACAGTTTCTCAGAGCGTGTCTGGGGAAATGAAATATTGCCTTCACAAAACACCCAGGGATCTACCTGAAGGAACGACTCAGGGATGTCCTGATTTGTTAGAGCAAGGAAGTCCAGACCATTGATCCAAGCCGCCTTCCTGGAATGCTGAGTCAGGCTGCATGCTTCCCCGGAAAGAAGGGGAGACTCAAGGTTATGTTCCTGAGTCTTCCCCCCCTTTCCTGCCTTCTCATTCTCCTCCTGCTTCCCCCCACCCATCTCTACTTCACGCCCACCACATCTCACTGCCTGCAGGCCCAAGGTGCTCAGACACCAGGGCCTTTCCCCCCAGGATCCACTTTCAAATAGTCCCACTCTTTTCTCTCCAAGATTTTCATTCAGGAAACTCCTGAGGATCCTGACAACAGCCTTTGGTGACCTCTGTCCTGCTGGTGTCGTGGTCATGGTGCGGGGACCCCTACCCTAACTCACTCCCCACCCACGGTGGGAGGAAGGTTTTCTTCCACAATCCTGGACCTAACATACAGGGATGGGCCAAGGAGCTAGGGTAGGACCCCCTGGGGAAACTGCTGTCCAGTCCCCGGGGGGACAGATGCCCCTCACCGGTGGCCCCACGCTGCAGCCCCACCCGGGCTCTTTTGCCCCAGCGCAGACCTCATTCACCACCCCATGGCCTTCAGGACCCTGCCTGCCTATCTCCACCTGGGGCTGGCTGCCTCTCTATCACAGCAGGGGCCTCAGCCGAGGAGGGAAGTGAGGTCACCCCAGAGTTCCTTGTCTGCTGAATTGGGTGGCACTGAGTTTATAGTCATTCCCACTGTATCCTGCAGAAATTTTGAGACCCAGGGGAAGGGCTGGGGAGGTGCCTTTTATGCTGCGGGCCTCTGTGAGTGTCAGTATAGGAAGATCAGGGAAATGGTGAGGTCTGGGGAGGCATCTCAGCCATCCTTGGGCTTTGAGGGTTGGAGGCACAGCCTTCCCCCACAGCCAGAACGGCTCCAGAAGAGGAGGCGTCCGCTCTCTCATTGGAAAATGGGAATAATAAGATCTTAAAAGGAGATTATAGGGGCGCCTGGGTGGCTCAGTTGGTTAAGCGACTGCCTTCGGCTCAGGTCATGGTCCTGGAGTCCCGGGATCGAGTCCCGCATCGGGCTCCCTGCTCGGCGGGGAGTCTGCTTCTCCCTCTGACCCTCCTCCTCCTCCTCATGCTCTCTGTCTCTCATTCTCTCTGTCTCAAATAAATAAATAAAATCTTTTAAAAAAAGGAGATTATAGAAGTAAAGCCTTTTATTCAACCTCCGATGAGGTGAATTTTCCGGGGGCGGGTGGGGGTGAGCACGCTGGTAGGCAGGGCACGAGTGGGGTGGAGTGAGATTTCGGAATTTCAGTTGGCCCCAAATCCTGGCAGCAAAGTCAGACAAGCAAAGACAAGGACTGATTCTTTGATACATGTTTCTGTCTGGAGAATCTCAGCAACAGGACTTGTGGGCCTGGGCACGTTTATTGAATGAAAAAATTCCTGAGTCAGTGAATGACTAAACCAACAACCCTAGGTGGGGACGGCCCTCTGAAATTCTGAAATCGTGAAACGTGACTGCTGGAGACCAGCAAGGGTGGAAAATTGGGAGCTGCCCCTGACGTCCCAGCCCCACAGCTCCCTCCGGCGCTACTGAGAATTTGCCTCGGCGCCACCTGCTGGTGGGCGCTGACCGTGGCCACCTCCCGCCAGACTGGGACGTCTTCACCTGGGTGCCCCGGGTATGGAAGGCTGAGACCAACCTCTCTCCAGATGACCCGCTCCCTCAGGAACGGCCGCTACCGAATTTATCCTGATCCTTCCGAGGGTCAGAAAAAAAGCATATCAAAGCCTTGGAAAAGGCATGAGGGATTCCTGGGTGTCCTTTCTGAGGAGGTCTGGGGGTTGGCTCCATGTCCTCTGATGATCATCTGATTCTTTAGGGTTGTGCACTATTGATTATTTGATTGACTTTATAACTCCGTAGGGACAGAGGCAATTTGTAGAAAATAGATAATCATGGAAATGATTCCTGCCCATCGCAAGCAAATGAGTCCTGTTCATAACACAAACAAGTTTTGTCCGGTAGAGAATGTAAATGCCTGCAGTGGAATCCTCGTTGGAGCTCGTGTTAACATTTTGCTGGTTCCTTGTCAGTGAATGAGCTAAAGAAAATCGTTGACATGCGTTCCCTTGTTTTGATTGTAGGAGGGACGTGATTTTACCTTTTTGAAATGATATTTGTGCAGCTCGTTGGTCCCCACGGAATCTACAAAGTCTCTCACACCTTCCATCCCCCCTGCCCCCCAATCTGTTCAGGTTGCACCCACAACCGCAGCCTCCGGGTCGCCACGGTGCCCATCACGGACTTCGAGGACAAGCTGCCCTTGCGTACTTCTCTACCCGCGTCTCCCTCCAGGCTGCCAGCTCCCGAGGGCAGGGGCCAGGTCTGATTCTTGCTGGATCTGCAGAGCTCAGTCGATGCTGTTGAGTGAATTTATGAATATACTCAGTTTGGACCACACCTCACTGCTGGCGAAGGAGCCTGGTGCATGGGAAGGGCAATGCATTCATGTGGCCTAGTATTCATGTGAGCCTCAGTTGTGTGAAATGAGGCTATTTCCTACGTGCTGATGAGAAGGAACTGCTGCATGTTTTCCATTTCCCTCTTTCAGTTTCTACTGCCACCTCCCCTCTCCCAGGATACTATGAACAGGAACAGCGTCGTTTCCTCCGGCTCTCCACCCTCCAAGGCCCCCGGGAAGTGTCCAGTTAAGTACCCCTACCTGGTTCATGAATGAGAAGGGGAAGGGGTGATGGTTTGAGGGGCCAGGGTGCCTGCATCGAGCAGATAAGAAGCCCAGGACCTACTCAGCAGAAGCCTTGGACTCCAATGTTGGGGGGATTGAGGGGAAAGGGAGGGCTGGATCCCTGAACACGGACAGGAAACCCAGGAGAAAAGCTGAAGGAAGAGAATGACTGGAAGAGGCTGGATTTCAAGTGGCCCAAAGTCCCAGCCCCAGCCCCAGCCCATCCCGCAGCACAGAACGCACCTGCCACTCCCGCCCCTACTTCCCTAAGAGGCTTCATCTGCTGAGAAATCAGACTCCTGAATAACTGGGGTTCTGGCGCCATCTCGTGGCCATTCCTGAAACTGCCCATTCAGTCGGAGCAGAGCCCAGAGATCCAAGAGGGAGGGGAGCCAGGCCAACCCTCCCCCAACTTTCTTGGCCTCCATCCTCTTCATCCTCATCTTCTCCCTGAATATATTCCAGGCTCAGTGTTCAACCTCTTTCAGGCCTGTAGCACATTTAACTCTTGGAACAATCTTAAAGGCCAGGTAATACTTAGAACCATTTTACAGATGAGGAAACCGAGGCACAGAGAGGTGAAGGAGTTTCCCCCAAGGCCATGCAGCTAAGGAGGTGGACCAGAAGAGCTCCTCTCTACACAGGAGAGGGGCGGTGAGGGGCGGTGAGGCACTTGGTCCTGCTGCTTAACAGACAATCGGATTTGGGGCTCTTTAGTTCTAATTCAAATATGTTTTTGGTGCCTACTCTGTGCTGGACTCAACACGGGGCGCCGGGCTTGCCAGTCATCCTCTCAGTCCTCGTGAATCCCCTCCAGGGCGCGCATCACCGTCTGTCCGGCCTGATTGCCTTGTTAAGTGTTGATCTCCCACCAAGACTGTGGGGTTCCTGAGAGCAGGGACCTATAGACTGTTTTCTTTGCTGCCGTGTCTCTAGAGCTCAGAATTGATCTCAGAATGGGTGCTCCATAAACGTTTGTGAATGACCGAACAAATCAGTGAATGAATACAAGATTTCTTAAAAAACAAAAACAAACACACACACACACACACACACAAACCCCAAACAACTAAAAAAAAAAAAATCACTAAAGCAAAATAAACCCCACAAACTAGTCCCTGCCCTCAAGGCACTGACAGTCTAGTGAGGAAGGCAGTTTGGTAAAGGGCAGAGGTGGTTCCTAACCCCCTCCCCGCCACACACACGCACACACACACACACACACCCCACCCTCCCTCAGGCTTTCCCAGAGAGGAGCACAGAGCTTCCGGAGCCCAGAGGAGGCTCCTAACCTCGCCCTGCCCTGAGGCCCTAAGGTCAACGCCTGCGGAGCTGAGACCTGTAAAGGAAGGAAGGGGAAAGGCACTGCAGGTAGAGGCCACCGACAGGAGAATCTGCGTGGCGGGCACTTCGAGCTCTAAGCCTCAAGGAGGAACATCGAGGGAGGAAGGGAGGTCTGCCGGGAATTCAGCCAGCGAGCCACTGCAAACAAATCCCTCCTTCGACTGCCTCAAGACTCCTCCTCCACAAAATGGGAATGAGATGAGGATAAAAAGACACAGGGCCTGGCATACCAAAGGGAAACTGAGGTCTCCCTAGCCGGTTGCCCCACCACCCTAGATGCCCTTCAGGGACATGGGCTTCCAGGGGCATGGGCTTCCCTAGCTGGCAGTACCCCCCCCCCCGGAAGGCCACCAGGACGCAGCTTGAGACTGGAGGGGACCACAGCTCCATCTGGTTTCAATCAGCACCTCAGAGATGGCACACCAGGAGATCCCTGGGTCCCAGCACCAACCCCACAAGACGGCAGATCCGCCCTGTAATGAATGCAAGGGCACGGGGTTGGGGAACTGGGGTGGGCCTCGCAGAGAGGGCACTGGATAGAGACTCTTGGTGGAACCAAGAAGTAAGTACGTTCTATGTTGAAGCTGGTGGAAGCCCTGGTGATGCAGCAGATAGTAAGCCAGTGTGGTGTGTGGCGTTGAAAATCTCTTTTAGGGGGAAAGACAAAAACAGGAAGGGGAATAGGGACTGTGGGGATGGTTTGCAATTTTAAATAGGATGGTGCAGGAGAACCTCCAGAGAAGAGACCTTCAAATAGAGACCAGAAGATGCGGTGTGGGAGTAAGCGTGAGGATCTCTGAGAGAAGAGGGTTCCCGGCAGAGGGGGAAGCAAGTGCAAATGCCCTGAGGCAACATTGTGCCTGCTGCGGTTGAAGGAGCAGTAAAGAAGCCAGAGAGGGGGCTGAGTGGGGAGCGGTGGGGGCCAGATGGAGGAGGGCCTTATAAGCCACTGGGATGGCCAAGTGGGTATAACGTGTAGCAACAGAGGTACACGATGGGAGAGAAGCCCAGAGCCGCTCATCAGACAACTCTAAACTTGTGTCTCATTCCCCAGCCACACCTCCCACAGTGCACTATGAATTTATATTTTCTATAAATCCTGTAATTATCTTGTGAATAGCACAATTATATTGCATTGTATTTGGCGTGTTAAAAGCATTCATTTGTTAAATGTAAACATTTAAAATATACCATGTATTATGCAGCTCTTTCTACTTTTTTATTTAATCAACTGGAAGCCTTCAATTGGAAGTGGGGGGGGGTTCTTGCCCTCCAAGAGTTCCCCAAAGGCAAGTCTACTGTCACACTCACCCACACCCTCACCTACACACACTCATACTCACTCACCCGCTGTGCCCAGCCAGAACGCAGGGCTGAGAGACAGACACCTGCTCATCTGCCCCCTCAGGGGGGTCTCGGACGGGTTCCTGCAGGGTCTCCCACTACCTCTGCTCCAACTTGCCCAGCCCTTGACATTTGACAGAAAGCGTCCCCATCCTCACGGACCTTCACTACAAAATGGGCAGGGATTAGCATGTCCATTTTACAGACGGACAAACAGAGGCTCTGAGAGTGACTGAGGACAGAGCAGAGTCTGGAGGAGGCAAGATGGGGATGGGGAAGGCTTCGAAGTTTAAAGGTGAGGAGAGGAGCAGGAGGGTGCTAGGGCTCACCCTCTGGTGGACCTGACCTCGGACAGACCAGGGTTTGAATCCCAACCACCTCCCCCCCCCCATTTGTTTACCTTGGGTAAATTCCTTAAACTCCCTGAGCCTCGGTTTCCAAATCTTTACAATGGGACTAATGATAGTACTCACCTCATGATCTTGTTTGCGGATTCAGTGAGGTCGCGTGTATGAAAAGGCTGTTATTACTGTTATTTTCAGTCGAGCCAGGTGCTGGGTTTAGAAGTGGGGTGGGTGGGGGAGGCCGCTCAGCTTACACCCCACCCAGCCACAGCCCCGCGCTGGTGGCCTCCTGCTGAGCGGCTTCCTCTGCCTGTGGAGACAGCAGTTACTATGCTGTCACAGCCCAACCTTTCCCATCACTCCTGCTTCGTAGTTTATGAAGCGCTTTCATCCATTCACCCAGCATTTCCCGAGCGCCTCCTGTATAAACCGGCCCAGGGCTGGGTCCTGGGCATCTCCTGGTGAGTGAGGCGGGCCCTGTCCGGGCACCCAGGTTGCTGGCATCAGTAGCTCAAACACGAATGAGCGGATGGGTAGGAACTGGGTCAAGAGCGAGGGGAGAATCGTAGGGGCCAGGAGAGAGAATCACAGGGGCCCTGGTGCAATCTCAACCCAACCGCGCAGCAGTGGTCAAGGATAACCTACTCCCGTTGCCTCGGTGGAGACCCTGAACCTCAGGACAGGGCAGGCACCTGCCTGGGGCACCAACGAGGTGGGGTGAAGGAACCAGGGGGCCAGCACACCCAGCTGACTCCTTCTCCCACCCAAGCTGGCCCAGGGGAAGGAGGGCTCTGCCGAAGGATCCTCCCTGGAGCGAGGCGTGCGGGAGCTGCCAGGAAAGGGAGCGAGCTCGTGTGGAGGCTTGTGTTTTCCTCACCTCTGCTTCGCATCTCCTGAGGGGTGGGGGACCGGCTCAGGCCCCCGGGGTCTGAAGGGCAGAGCACGCTGGTCCCTCCCATGGGCATCAGCCTGGGCACAGCTGTCCCGAGTGTGGGCTCCAGGGGCTGGGCTGTGAGTAGGGGCAGGGCTGCTCCCCAGGGGAGGCTGTGCTACCCTGGCTTAGCAGCACTCCCACCTTGTGGGCAGAACAGGCTGGAGGCTGTGCTGGGCTCCGAGTTGAGTCTGTTGAGCTACTGTTGGGTGATGACCCCAGAGCCCCCAGCTTGTGGGCTGTTTCACGACTTGCAAAGCCCTTGCACAACTCCTATCTCTTTGATCCTCACCAAAAACCTAGTGTGAGAGCAAAGGTACCAGGCCTGGAGTCAAAAGACCAGGGTTCAAGTCCCGGCAAATGCCATATCTCTATCATTCAGTCATTCAACAAACATTCATGAAGCATCTACAGTGTACTGGATTCTAGGCTAATTGCAGTGAGCAAAACAGACCAGACAAAGTCCCTGTTCTCCTGGACAAAAAAGATTAGAAGTAATCAAATAGTCACCTAAAAACCAGGTTTTCAATGCACAGGTGTTATCCTTGTGATATCTCTCTCCCTCA